AGCTACAGAAGTATGTAGGAGTGCAGCATGCAGGAAGGGGAGGGCTTTAACACTTTGGCATAGCCAGCTAACTGACTGCTTGAATTAGAATCATGGTAGAATTACAGTCGATGATGATGACCATCATTATCATCATAAATCTAAAGAGGAGTAAGGATGACAGAGCCTGCGGCGGGGTTAGGGGAATAGAGCCTTTTTCACATGAAAGTGCTCATATTTAGACCTGTGACATTACTTTCAAAGGAGGTTTTATATATAAATTGTAGTCACAGAGATCCCCCAAAAGAACTGAAAGATCTTCTTCATATAACTTAATACTTTTATCTTGTTTCTAGGTCACATCCTTTATAGTGTACTATGAATTTAATCATTTCTATAAATCTTGTAATTATCTTGTGAATAACAGAATTATATTGCCCCCCCCCCCCTTTTTTTTAAATGGAGTCTCTCTCTGTTTTCCAGGCTGGAGTGCAGCCGCATGATTTTGGCTCATTGCAGCCTCCACCTCCTGGGTTCAAGTGAATCTTCTGCCTCAGCCTCCCGAGTAGCTGAGATTACAGGCACCTGCCACCATGCCTGGCTAATTTTTACAGTTTTAGTAAAGATGGGGTTTCACCATGTTGATTAGGCTGGTCTCAAACTCCTGACCTCAAGTGATCTACCCGCCTCGGCCTCCCAAAGTGCTGGGATTACAGGCGTGAGTCACAGAGTGCAGTGGCTCTGTCCTGTATTTTTAATGCCTCTCCCAAAGCCATTAATTACATTTAAGGTATACCATAATGGTTATCAATTCTGTGTTGCATTTTTTTCTTAAAACTGTTAGTAGTTTATGCCTGTCCTGATCTCAGAGAGCTCCTGGGCTTAGGACACAAGAACTTGTGATTTAGAGAGAAGCATAAATAGATACCAGGAAGCAACACTGCCAGACGGAGACCAGAGTCAGGCTTGCTGCAGGAATGGAGAGAGCAGTGGCGGTCTGGGCCACACAGAGGGGGACCCAGCTGTGGTTACTGGCTGGGATTGAGCTGCCCGCTGAAGCAGCTCCTCCCTGCATGACTCAGGTTCTTGGGGAAAACCCTGAGTTCTCAGGTATACCTTTTTTTTTTTTTTTTTTTTAACATCTTGTGGCTCTGCCTGTGGGAAGGAAATGTAATTGCTGCATAATTAGTCCATGAATTATTGAGAACTGAGTGGTGTGAAATAATGAGGAAGGATGCCCTTTGGGTTAGAAACTACATTTAATATTGGAAGACTGATATTCAAGTAAAACTAAATCACGAGGTTGTCATTTTCAGGGTCTACGTCAATCTCGAGCTGTGTCTGATGGCTTAAAACAAGCTGTATGAAGAACATGCCCAATGAAGAAAAATTTCTATCAGCTCACAACTAATACACATAGTGGGAAATTATGGACAAACAAAACACATGGTGGACAGAACCACGAAGTGGGGATCAGACATCTGTCGTTTATTCATTTATTACATCTGTGGTTCTTCTAAAGTGGCCCACCTCATGCTAGCGAGAATTAGTCTCTTTATTAGAAAGAAAAATGTGATTCAGGCTGGAGTGCAATGGAGTCATCTCAGCTCACTGCAACCTGCGTCTCCAGGGTTCAAGCGATTCCTCTGCCTCAAGCTCCCGAGTAGCTGGCACTACAGGCGCGCGCCACCACACCCGGCTATTTATTTTGTATTTTAGTAGAGACAGCGTTTCACCATTTTGGCCAGGGTGGTCTCGATCTCCTGACCTCGTGATCTGCTCTCCTCAGCCTCCCAAAGTGCTGAGATTACAGGCGTGAGCCACAGCGCCCGGCCCGCTAGTCCCATTCTTTCTCCATACCTATGCCCGCTTGTCTCTTGTACAGTTCACATGCTGTACAGTTTGCATCTGCAATGATGAGTACTGTGTCTGTCCTTTCTCTGATCCTTGTGCTTCACTGGTTCTCACACCACTCTATAGCCAGGTACAGAAGATCTAGTTGTGTCTGAATTGCCCCAGGCCACTTCTCGGTAACTCCCAGCACACTGCTCTTGGGAGCTGTTCTCTGGCACTCCCTTTTGGTCACTTGCATGTACTGCCCTCTTTGAGTTCTGGGACTTTTCAGTTTGCTAATCTGGTTCCCTGATCTAGGCTCCTACTAGGTGTATAAATAGATTCATCGAATAGACAAAAAGGGTTGTTTTTTTTTTTTTTTTTTTTTTTTTTCCTGTCTTCATACTTTTAAAAAACTTTCTTCACAGCAGTCTAGTCATGGCTCATCTGTAATCATACTTTTTTTAAAAAAATTATTATTTCAACAAACACTTATTGAAGACTTTCTATGCTTAAGTATTGCACCTGCGCCTGGAGATACAAAGCTCTCTCCTTTCCCCCCCAACCCTTCCTACCTCTTTTTCTTACTTTCTTTTGTACTTTCATAAACATATAGTCAGTATTTTGCTAAGTACCTGCAGATAGATGCAAAGATGAATAAAATGTAGTCCTAGCCCTCAAAAGGTTTTCCATCTAGTTAGCAACTTAGAAAAGTAAATGGATAATTCAATTACAAACAGCTGTGGTAAATACCATGTTAAGGGTTTGCACAGGGTATTAGGAAAATGTGTGCACGCTCATGAATGTACATGTCTGTATGAGTGTGCTTGTGTGTGTATGTGTGTGTGCATGTGTGCATGTCTGTGGGTGTGCACGTGTTTGTGTGTGTGTTTGTGTATGTGTGTGTGCCTGTTTGCCTGTGTGTGTGGGAGTGGGTTCATAATATTTGTTTGGGGTAGAGGTAGGGGGTAGAGCTTTTGGATGTGCCAAACTGAGTGAACATCTCATGCAAAGATCCTGAGGCAGAAACCTCCTGGTGTGTGGAGAGACTACAAGTGGTTTGGAGTGTAGTGTGCTATGGAGTGGCAAGGGGTGAGTCTGGAAATGCCCTCAGAAACCAGTTCCTGATGAGCCTTGTGTATGGGGCTAGGAGTCCTGCAGAGGATGTGAAGACTTCGAAGAATTTTACGTTCAGGAAGTACCATAGTTAGGTTTGCATTAAAACATACTAGTCTAGCTATAATGTAGATTATGAAACGGCAGGACAAAGGGCAAGTTTGTAGGCCTGGAATCCAGTTAGGAGGCAGTGCCAATAACAGTGGCACTAGCTAAGAATAAAGGGTCCCTGCCTTCCAAATACAGCCCAGAGGTTATGAAAAATTGTTTGCCATAGCAGAGTGAGATCGCTATTAAGAGAGACAGGTGCACAGTACGACAGATCACTGATGACCTCCCTGCCTGTATGATTTTAAGTTCCTTCTGTCTTTAAAATTTTGTGACTCTAGGCTACCTGTTGTAGAGGGGAATGCTGTCCTTTGAACATCTCTGCTGTAAGGTTAATGGCCCCTTGAAGAGGAATCATGTAAGAATGTTCCTAGGAACCAATCCAAATGCCCATCAATGATAGACTGCATAAAGAAAATGTGGCACATATACACCATCGAATACTATGCAGCCATAAAAAGGATGAGTGCATGTCCTTTGCAGGGACATGGATGAAGCTGGAAACCATCGTTCTCAGCAAACTATCACAAGATCAGAAAACCAAACACCGCATGTTCTTACTCATAAGTGGGAGTTGAACAACGCGAACACATGGACACAGGGAGGGGAACATCACACACCAGGCTCTTTTAGAGGGTGCGGGAAATGGGAGGGAGAGCATTAGGACAAATACCTAATGAATGTGGGGCTTAAAACCCAGATGACGGGTTGACAGGTGCAGCAAACCACATGGCACATGTATACCTATGTAACAAACCTGCACATTCATCACATGTATCCCAGAACTTAAAGTTAAAAAAAATAGAATGTTCCTAAGAGCACTGTTCACAAGAGTTAAAACCAGAAAGCAATTAAACATATAATTTATGTATAATAAATTAGAAAATGTTTATAATAATATGTATTATATAATAATGAATGATTTATATTTGTATACTTTATATATAATACAACTATAGAAAAACCTCCATAATTTTTTTTATAGAAAGCAGGAGAAGAATGAACATGGAATTTAGGATGATGCTCACTTGGGTGGGAAAAGCCTGAGAATAAAGGGGAGGGACCACAGGGGCAAAGAAAGTTATTGTCAAGGTCCTAGACTTAGTTTTGGGTGGTGGGTTTGGGAGCTTATTTCAGTATTCAAAGTAACTAAATAAGAATATAGTAAGTGTAAGACAGCTATGTATGGATCATTGGTGAGAGAGTGCCATGAACTGAGAAATAGGGTTTATTTGATTCAGTTTCCTGAGTTCAAAAAAAGAAAAACAGTAGCCGGGCGTGGTGGCTCATGCCTGTAATCTCAGCACTTTGAGTGGCCAAGGTGGCTGGATCATGAGGTCAAGAATTTGAGACCAGCCTAGCCAACATGGTGAAACCCCATCTCTACTAAGAATACAAAAATTACACGGGTGTGGTGGCGCATGCCTGTAATCCCAGCCTCTTAGGAGGCTGAGGCAGGAGAATTGCTTGAACCTGGGAGGCGGAGGTTGCGGTGAGCCGAGATCACACTACTGCACTCCAGCCTGGGCTACAGAGCAAGACTCTGTCTCAGGAAAAAAAAAAAAAAAAAAAAAGGAAAAAAGAAAAACAGTAAAAGAAAAAGCAGACCGTGATAATGCGAGGAGCGAAGGCTGGGAGTAGGGAGGTGGAGAGAAGCCAGGAAACCAGCGAAGTGGGAAGAGAAGATGTGGCCTGGGAACCCAGGGAGGCAGAGAGAGCTCAGGAGAAAGGTTCAATCACCCAAGTACAGGTTGCCACACTGTAATTCAAGGGGAGCCTTGCGTAGAGTGACGAAGGATCCAAATCAGGTTCCAGTTTTCCACTATTACTAAGAGCTGGAATAACAGCTCAAGCCCCGTACAGTAAGCGCATCAAGCTGAACACAGGGCCTCCCACCTCCCAGTTTTCTTGTTCTTCCCATGTCCTAGCAATGGAATCAGAGTTATGTGTCATGGCATACTCACAGTTTTATGATGTCTGATCCAAACTTGTCAATGACTAAATAGCAGGTGGTTTTCAAGAACAGTTTTTCTAAAAAATAAAGAGGGAAATTGAATATATTTTTATTGTAACGAATTTAACACACCTTAATAATGATTATCTTTACTAGGAACTGAAGCTGAGTGATTAACTTATGATTAATTTGAATATTAAATTTTAAGGATGTGAAGGAAACTTTACAGCTACTGTATGCATTAAATATCACTTCTATCTCAGATTTATGTGAATGCCACCTAACCGTCCAGGTTAAAGATAAGCAATTTATTCTAAAAACACAGTTAAATGTTGGATTTTCCTTTTCTTTCTTTCTTTTTCTTTTTATTTTTTTTCTACAGGGAATATCGGCTATGACTTCATTTGTTGAAGTTGAAAGAAATGAGACTTGCATTAAAGTCAATAATCTGAAACATAGCTCTGTTAGAAATGGTCTTTTCTGGTGTTTATTCGAAGGAAAATACTTCACTTGGGGTCCTTAGTTTTTGCTGTTATTATCCCAGAGATAAAAGGAAATGACAGTTACAGGTGATCCTGCACTGCCACCTTCATCATAGGACACAGATATACTCCACACACATACGCCTACTAACAACATAATCTCCCCCCACCTCCTATGAGAGCACATGAATGTTTTGTGAGTTCGTCCTTCCCACAATGAAACCTGTTGGTCCTGTTTCTCCAGTTTGTGAGTCTATTGTGGAGCCCTGGCAATTCAACTGAGGCTCTTAGCAGAGTTAGGGATGGATCAGTTGTCCTAGAAAGAGATAGAAAACCCTGATTGAGAAGAATCTATCTTTTCATGATGCATCTCACATAGGTGGCCCAGACTTTGCTGGATGATGGAGTGGTGAAACAAGATAAATATGGCAATGCTCCCTGGTACTTCAATTTTGCTTAATGTTAAATAATGTTAAATATTATTTTTGTATTAATATAGATATATTATATGACTTTTTAGATAAAAAAGTATGAGACTTTAAATACACTGTGCTTGGCTGGGCGCAGTGGTTCATGCCCGTAATCCCAGCACTTTGGGAGGGGTGGATCGCCAGAGGTCAGGAGTTTGAGACCAGCCTGGCCAACATAGTGAAACCCTATCTCTCCTAAAAATACAAAAATTTAGCTGGGTGTGGTGGCTGGCGCTTGTAATCTCAGCTACTCGAGAGGCTGAGGTAGGAGAACCTCTTGTACCCGGGAGGCGGAGGTTGCAGTGAGCCGAGATTGCACCATTGCACTCCAGCCTGGGCAACAAGAGTGAAACCCCATCTCAAATAAATAAGTAAATAAGTAAATAAATAAATAAATAAATTGTGCTCTTGAAGTAGGCAATTAAAACTGTGTCCTCACATTACGAGTGACCTTACAGAAATAAAAAGGATTATAAGGGAATGTTATGAACAGGTGCATGGCAATAAATTAGGTAACTTAGATAAAAAAAAAAAATTTTTAGAAAGACACATAATGCCCAAATGGACTCAAGAATAGACAATTTTAAGAAACATATAACAAGTAAAGAGATTGAATTAGTAATTTAAAACCTCCCACAAAAGAAAGCCTAAGATCAGACAGCTTCACCAGATAGGATTCACTGGCAAATCTACCAAAAAGTTAAAGAATTAATAACAATTTATCAAGAACTCTACCAAAAAATGGAAGCAGAGTGACCATTTCTTAATTTATTTGTGAAGTTAATATTACCCTGATACTAACACCAGAAACCTTCCTCCGAAAGAATGTAGACCCAAACTTCTCATGAATATAACCACAAGGATCCTCAACAAAATACAAACAAATAAGATCCAGCTATACAGAAATTATACAACATGATCAGGTGGGATTTATCCCAGGAATGCAAAATTGGTTTAACATCTGAAAATCAGTTAATGTATTACTCCCATATCAACAACATAAAAAAAAAACCTATATGATTATCCAATATAGGCAGAAGATATTTGACAAAATATAGCACTGCTTCATGATTTTATTAGGAATAAAAGGGAACGTCCTCAACTTAATAAAGGTTATCTACAAAAAACCTGACAACTAACATGATATTTAGTGGTGAAAGTTTAAATACTGTCCCCTCAGTATCAGGAAAATATAAGAATATCTGCATTCACTAATTTTATTCAACATTATAAGTTCTAACTAGGAGAATTAGGCAAGAAAAAGAAATAAAAAGCATTCAGATTGGAAAGTAAAGAAGTAAAACTATCTTGTAGCTGATATGATCTTCTGTGTAGAAAATCCTAAGGAATCTATTAAAAACTATAAAAACCAACAAATAAGTTCAATAAGGTTGCAGGATACAAGATCAATATGCAAAACCAATTGTATTTCTATATCGCAGAAGTGAGCAAATAAAAACTGAAATTAAGGAAAACAATTCCATTTACAGTAGCATCAAAAAGAACTAAATTCTTTATACGTGTGAAGTGAGTAAATAAAATTGGAAATTAAGCATAATCATTTATAGAAAGATCAAAAGAATCACAAATTTTGAAGAGGAGGGGGCGGAGCAAGATGGCTGAATAGGAACAGCTCCAGTCTCCAACTCCTACGAGCGACAGAAGACCGGCGATTTCTGCATTTTCAACTGAGGTACTGGGTTCATCTCACTGGGGAGGCCAGACGATCGTGGTGCTGGTCAGCTGCTGCAGCCCGACGCAGAGTTGAAGCAGGGCATGCAGGCATTGCCTCACCTGGAAAGCGCAAGGGGGAAGGGAATCCTTTTCCTAGCCAGGGGAACTGAGACACACAACACCTGGAAAATCGGTAACTCCCACCCCAATACTGCGCTTTAAGCAGACAGGCACACCAGGAGATCATATCCCCACACCTGGCCAGGAGGTCCCACACCCACGGAGCCTCCTCATTGCTAGCACAGCAGTTCAGATCTACCAGCAGAAAGAAATAGAACAAAAGCAGCCAGGTTTGGGAGGCTCGCCATTGCTGAGGCTTAAGCAGGTAAACAAAGCCGTTGAAGCCTGAACTGGGTGGGAGCCCACAGCAGCTCAAGGAAACCTGCCTGGTTCCCTGTAGACTCCACCTGGGGACAGCAATAATAACAACGCAGCAGCCTGCAGACGCAAATGACTCTGTCTTATTGGCTTGAAGAGGAGGTGACCTCCCAACATTGAGGTTGAGATCTGAGTAAGGACAGACTCGCCTAAGTGGGTCCCTGACCCTGAGGAGCCTAACTGGGAGACACTCTACTGTAAACAGTCCAGCCACATCACACTCCCAGGAGACACCCTGAGAGGAAGATTCCAAAGTGCATCCAGACAGGCACACCGGTTCAGAAATATTCTACTCTGCAGCCTGGCTGCTGATAATTTGTGGCGTGGCCAGAGGGTCTGAGGGACTCACAATTTCTATGAAGCACACCTCACAGCTGAGGATCCTGACTGTTAGAAGGAAAGCTATCAAACAGGAAGGACACTTCATAATGCAAAACCCTCATCAGTGGCATCACCAATGCATCAAGACAGAGGTGGATAAAAACCACAAAGATGTGGGGAAAGCAGGCAGAAAAAAGCTAAAATTTTGGTGTATGAAGATGATTCTCTGCAAGTGAGCTTGTGTCATCGCCAGCAATTTGATCGTGTTTGAGACGAGAATGACTTGATGAGATGAGAGAAGAAGGCTTCATCCATCAAATTTCTCAGAGCTAAAGGAGAACTAGATGACTCAGCTGCAGTTGTAATCTAAAAATCTTGTAAGGGAAGAATTGATATTAGAGTAATTAATGCAGAGGTCACAACTAAATGAAAGAGACGAAATCAGTGGCATTTGAGAAATACGTGATAAAATGCACAAGCTTCAGTAACTGGTCCATTAACTGGAATGGTGAAATGCCGCCATGGAGAATCAAATGAAAGAAGCGGTAAGAGAACCGGCAAAGGGTGAAGAAAGAAAATGAACAGTCGGAAGGTGGATGGTAAAAAGATCAAATCTACGTTTGACTGGGGGGTCGAAAGAGGGGAAATGGAACCTGCTGGAAAACACTTTCACAGGAGAATACCTGGAGACCTTCCTGTCCTAGTAGGGTAGGGCCAACATTCAACCAGGAATACAGAGAACATACAAAGATATTCTAAAGTATAACCTCATGAGTACAGACCAAGGATTCACCAAAGTTGAAATAAGGAAAATCTGGTGCAGCCAGAGAGAAAGGTCACACGGCAAAACACCAGACTCAGCAGTGACTTCGGGCAGAAACCTTCAAGGTTGTGAAGAGAGTAAAATGAATATTCATGATTTAAAGAAAAGAATTTTCAACCCAGAACTTACATCCAGCTGCCCTGTTTCATATAAGTGAAGTGAGAATAAAATCTCACAGATAAGCAAATGCTAGAGATTTTATATCACCACTGGCCTGGGCCTTATGCGAGACCCTGTCAAAGTACCAAACATGGAAAGAACAACTGAAAATTGAGCTACTGGCAAAACATGCCAAAACAAAAGACCATCATGCCAGAAGAAACTGCATCAACTAATGAGCAAAATAATTAGTTAATACTGTAAATGGCAGGACTAAGTTCACATAAATAATCTTGAACCTGAATGAAATGGACTAAAATCGCTCAAATTAAAAGATACAGACTTGGCAATGATAAAGAGCTGATCCATCAGTCTGCTGTATCTAGGACCCATCTCACGCAGAGACATACATAGGCTCAAAATAAAGGGCTTATAAAATATCACTGGCTAAAATGGAGAAACACAAAAAGTGGGTTGCAATACTAGTTCTGATAAACACTAAACCATCAAAGACTTGCAAGAGACAAAGAAGGTCACATACTGTATGGATCAATTCAACAGAAGAGCTAACTATCCTGTCATATGCAAACTAATACAGGAGCACCCAGATCTGTTAAAAGCAAAGTCCTGGGAGACTTACAAGACTACTAGACTCTGTACATACAATAATAATGGGAGACTCTGCACACTCAATGTCAAACATTAGACAGATCAACGAGACAGAGTTAACAAGATATTCAGAATGAACCATAATCTCTCTGCAGCAAGCA